CCCCTCGCCCCCCCCCCCGCCTGGCCGAATGTCCCTCACCCGGAAGCCGCCGACTGCCCCGGCCCAGCCGGCGCCCGGCCGTACCTCGCGGACGGGTCCGCCATCCGGGCTGCCCGGGGCCCGGCCACCGGCCCCCCCGTCGGCCGGGGCGCCGCCAGCCGCCGGAGCGCCTGGGACGGTGACCGCCCGGCCACTTGGCCCGATGGCCGGGGCCGCCGTCCGCAAGGTCGACACCGTCATCATGGATCTCCTGCACATGGAGCTCGTGAACTCCTACCTCCAGCGGGCGTCAGATCCCACAAAGCCCCTGACCCCCGGCGAGATCGAGACCTTCCGCCAGGAGATCGAGGCAATCGGCTCGGCAGCCGGGGCGCGCTTCTTTGCCAGGTTCGCCGTGCACTTGCCTTCCCCCCTGTCTGCCCGCCTGGCGTCCTCCCCCCCGCCGGGCTTCTTTTTTTTCCTCCCCCCTCCCCCTTTTTGACCATCCACCGCGCCTTTCCGAGCACTGACCGCCCCTTCTCGCGTCGGTCTTCCTCCTCCCTTCCTCTCTCTCTCTCTCTCTTTCTCCCCCCCCCCGCGCAGCGAGTCCATCCACTTGACTGCCTTCGGGCCGACGGATGCCGTTCGCTTTGTGTGCAATGGCTTGTGGCCATGCTTTTTCCAGAACAACATTTCCAACCTCCGATCCAATCGCCTGGTGCGCCCTCCGCCGCTTCCCCCTCCGACCGGCGGTCATTTGCCCCCCAGCGGGACACCCAAAGCTGACTCCCCACCCTGCTGCCTGGCGCCCTCTCGCTCTCTCGCTCGCTCGCTCTCCCGCTCTCCCGCTGCCCCTCCTCCGGAAGGATGTCTTCGTCATGACCGACAGCGCCTATCGGCCATTCACATGGTGCTCATCGATGAATGACTTCGCCCCGTCCGGCGGGGCGCACTCGGTCGCCTCGCAACTGATGCCGGTACGCCCGATCTCGCCTTTCCCTTGTCCCCCTGGAGCCCAGCCTGCCTCGCTGTTCGTCTCCACTCACGGCGCGCGTACATCCGGCCGCCTGGCGCATGTCCCCTTGCACATAGTACACCTGGTTCGCGTGTGGTGCCATCTCCGGTGCCCTGGCCGCCAGCGGCTGGAAGTGCAAGGTCACTTCGGAGATCAACAAGGCTCCCGGATGTGCGTCCCCCCTTCTTCCCCTGTCCTGTCCCGATATCCGCCCAATCCCCTGGGCCCGAGCAGCTCCTCGGCTGACGTCCCCCGCTCCCCCTCTCCGTAGGCGACTTCGTGGTTGTCATCCTCAACGTTTGAGGGACCCAACGGCTGGCTTTTTTTTCTCATGTATATCTCCTCCTCCCTGCCGGCTGTTCGATACCGGCCCCTTCCCAGTTGCATGGACACAATAAACGCCACATTTCGTGGATCCCAGGATCCCCGGCCGCCTCGAGAGGCCGGAGGGGGCAGCCCCGGCGAGAGAGAGAGAGAGACACAGGGAGACCGGGAGGGAGGGAGGGGCGACCGAGCGGCCTGGCGACCGAGCCGCCAGGAGACCCAGGCCGGGATCGACTGGCAGGGGGAGGGGGGGGGGATTGTTCCCCGTCCAAGGTCGCTTTTGGCGGGCGTCCTCTCTCCGCTCCCAGGGCGCCTTCGTGCGCGAGAGGGGGAAGCCGGCGCCAGTGGCGGCGGCCCGGCCCGGTGGGCTTGATCGGGGAACGGGCGGGGCGGTGGAATGCGCCGAAGCCCAAATGGAATCACGCCCAAATCACGGGCACAGGACCGCAAGTATTCCAGAACCGCACACATAGTCGCCCTATTCCACACTCGCACACACACACGCACACCCCAGTCCGGGAGGGAGGGGGGGGACACTGCGCCTTCCCGCCCGCTTCCCCCGCCCCCCCCCCTGAGAGACACTTGCACCCCTCCCCGCGAGTACGGGGACGCGGGGTGAGGGCGCCGCTGGAGCGCGCCGCCGGTCGTCAAAATCCCGGCGTCGATGTCCCCGGCGGGAGTTAAATCGACAAGGGCACCCCGCCCTTTGGTCGGACAAGTGGGGCCCGGCGGCCCGCTCGGGGTGCCCGCCTCCTCTTGGCACCTCCGTAGTGCGGTATCTCCGGCAGGGCGTCTGGCCTATGCGGGGGGGGGGGGGGGGGGAAAACTGGCAGTTCGCCGGGGCCGCGGGTCGGTGACGCTCGCGGCAGCGAGAAGCCCACCGGGGGGGCCGGGACGGGAGAGACAGCCGAGGGCCAAAGGCAACGTGCGGGAGTGACTTGGCTGCGCGCGAGCCAGCCCGCACATGGATGGGCCAGGGTTCTGCTTGGATCTCGCCCTCAGGGGTTGTGATCCTCGCGGGCCTCCCCCCCCCCCCGCCCCCGCCGGCCTCGAGGCGTGCGCCTGTCCGAGGCGCGAATGCCAGCGCCCGAGGGCGCGCGCTGGAAGCTTGTTTATTTTTGCCCGCCTTCCCCCGGGCGTTGGGGCGGATAGACACCGGCAGGTGGGCGTGTGTGGGGGTGTACGCCGGCTGCCTGGCCGGCCGGCCGGCCGGCGGCCACACATGCGGCTTGCTGCGCTTCGGCCCCCCCCACCCCGGGGAAGCCGGACACCTTGCCCAGCCCACCCCCCCGTCGCCCCCCCCCCCCCCCCGGGGGGGCGGAAAGCCGGGTGAGACGGCACAAAATGCCCCCCCGCCCACCGTCCGCCGCTAGACACACCGTGCTTCTCTCTGCCGGAGACCGTGGTTTTTTTTTGGGGGCCGGACTTGGTCCCCGGCCGCAGTCAAACCCCGCATGACAACAATGTCGGGACTTCCTTCCCCGGCTTCGCGTGCTCGCGAGCGCGCGCGCCCGTCTACCTGCATCCAAGTGGCCCTGCATGTGTCCCCCCTCCCTGCAGACGCTTCCCGGGAGCCGCCCCTTGGCTGTGAGCCGAGGGGCGTGAGCCATCGATTGGGTGCGGCCGTGGCGGCGGCCTTCCGTGTGCGAGTGGTGGAGAGGGCGGGGGGGGGGGGGGGGGGGGGGGCCCGGGTGTTCCGGCGCCCGGAGGTGGGGGGGGGGGGGGGGGGGGGGGGGGGGGGGGGGGGGGGGAAGGAGGCCCCGTTTTCCTTGCTCCGGAACGCGCTCCCGCGCGCGGCCCCCCTGGGCTTCTTTCCGGCGGACGCTCCGGAACGCGATCTCCCTCGCCCGGGGGGAAGCCTGGAGCCCGAAAAAAGCCTGTCCTCTGGGTCCCCCTCCGGCCGTGACGACCAAGTCAACAACCTTCACCCCCCCCCCCCTCTGCCCCCTCCTGGCCCGCCTCTCTTCTTCAGTTCACTCCGTCCCCGACGCCCCCGCCACCC